GACAATTATTATTTCACATGAAAAGAAATATTTTTAGAAGAAAAGTTTTATATTTGAAGTCGAAGTTCTGGTTTTATTAGAAAAGTTTTCGCAACAATGGAAATTAAATTAGGAGAAAGTCATGATATAATCACACATCGGGGGTCTGAACTGTTTCTGCAAACCTGCTGGGATGCCCAAATTATCATAGTCCTTTTTCACTTTGTGTTGTCACCACCACGAATAATGGCATTAACAATGGCACTGATCTAATTATGTGTGCAGCAGCCCATGATTGTTGGCTCCCTGTTTCTATTCGCCGCGTGGAAGGATGTTTCAATTCCTAAAATGTCTTTTGAAAAAGAAGTACAAAATAGAGGTCAGCATTGTCTGAGGATTTGAGCGCTGCGGTCCGATTTGCATCATCTCATTACAGCCATCCGAGGTGTCCGGTGAGCTGTCCGTGGTGCTGAACACATCAACCCCTTTGCATCACAGGAACAGTTTCTGAGACATTTCTGCTCTTCTTCAATATCCTACCTGACTTACCTTTTGTAAAAACAGAGGTGGGGGCCATGTTCCAAACAAAGCCTTTTAGATAGACCATGCATGTCATTGTTTCTTAAATAAAAGTGTGTCATGTGACTTATGTCCCTGTACATTAGACATTATTATCTACTACTTCTTTCAGTCAGTACATCAGCATTTTAAATGGTACATGTCACCTTTGAATATAATCATATATTCAATTTATCCATAATTAAATATATACTCACTTATTCACTTATTCAGCCGATCATCTGAGGTTTCCTGGACATCTGAACCCCAACTGTGAGATCTCAGTTGAACCAGTTGAGGGGATCTCACCTGTTTAGTTTTTATCATCTTTTTTATTTTCATGAATGAGCTGAAATTGTGAGGGGAGACTGCCTGTTGTTGGATCTCTGATTGGAATCCTGTCTTTGCTAATAACAGGATTATGTTTCTGTACAACTAAGCCAGCGCTGCCAGTTTTTTAATTCACTTGTATCCAGGGTGTCTCCTGGGTTTTGTTATGAGAGTAGTGTTAATGCATGTGTGAATGTAAACATGGGCCGGAGAAAATGGAGAACACACACACATATATATGTATATATTATAATGGTTTACATTGTATCTTAATATCCTGTGGTTGAGTTATTTTCCAATGTGAAAATTAAAGCGTCACATCATGTCTTATTTATTGATATTTAAGGTTCTTTATCCACAAATAAACCCCAGAGATTTGGAAGGTGACAAATTTAATCTGCTTTGCATAAATTCTTCCTTAAATAGCATCCAGTCCTTTCAGAATGTCAAAATGCAAGTCATGAAATAGGAAAATTGCCTCACGACTTTCATGCCTGAGATGTGATTTTTAGATGTGTGTGAAATAAACAGAAAATATCTTTATTTTGAGGCAAAGTCTGTCAGATATTGGGGAGCAGGTCTCATAGTGCTAAAAGCTCCCAGAGACTTGCAGTCTCACTGGCAATCAGTGATACAGCTCATACAAATTCCTTTGACACAATCGAAATGAACACTAGAGAAAGAAATGAAGTGGGGTCAGAGTGCATGATCACATGAGAGCGCCATTCCAGAAGCAGGATGGCAATCAAGGACTTGCCAGTGTAAGATCAGAGAACAGGGTTTCTGCGCTGGAATATTATCAGAGTAATGATTAATCCCCGGAACAACATTTCACACCATTTTCTGTGTCTGAAAATCTCTTCAGATACTTGATTCAATTCCTTTTATGCTTATAGATTTTCAATCTAACATAATTAAAATCAGATTTAACATCATTAAGGGAAAAAAACCCAGATCTGTGAGGATGATCTTTAATTGGTCATAAATGACTAGGCAACTTTTGCTTTTTTCACCATTATCTAATGTTTATTTGCATTTGGGGCTTTGTTGGAGAACAATCTTAGTTCTCCAGTTCTCACAATGTACTGCTCCATATGTAAAAATGTTTCTGAATGCATGTCTGTTTGGTCAACTTACTAAATACACACTCAGTATATTTTGAGGCCAGTGGAGCCACGAATTGAAGCCATCATCAAGGGATTTCTGTGGGTAGAACAGTTCTTCGCCAAATTCATCCCATTTCTATAAATCTGATTGTCCCTGATGTGCAAGAGAGTGTATGAAAATGTGCTTTTAATGTCAAGATGGCAAGAAATGCAGCCTATTTAAAACTGTAGCATCCAGTAAGTGGTGCCATGAAATTCTTTCTAGGAAACCAGAAAATACTCACCATTTTCCAACTATGACAAAAACAAAAGCTTAGCTGTGAAAATCATAATGAACCATTGCCGGATTTTCACAGTAACTTGCTAATCAGCCCTCTGATCTGCTAACATGTGTCTGTGGTCTTCAACCTGTGAGCGGTTTGGTTGACTAGGATGCTCTTTTTAATGTGATTCTGTTTTTAAAGCAACAAACCTTGTTTTTAAAATGGAACACACACCATTCCGCCACTATTAAATCCACGTTGAATCCTCTTATATAACAAACTGCTGCAGTTATGTTGTTAACTCCTGTAGACTGCTGTATCATCTTCTAATTGCTCTTTTCATGTCTTACTTCTTTCCACACGACCGAGCTTTGGTTTCCAGCTGCAAAGCCCGTAGAAAACATTTGGTTTCGGAAAAAAATAAAAGCATTTCCTCGTCACATCCCCTGTCTTTGAGCCCACAGAGAAAATAATCGACCCCTGAGTCGACTGAGGAGTTAATGTTGTGGTACCAAAGGGGTAACATACAGAAATACTGCCTCCCAAGTGTCTTGTCTGCCTCCCACTCCCTGTCTTTCTATCCAGCTGTTTTGAAGGAACAACCTTCAACAACCGGTTGTTTCAGACTGTGCGTGCGTGTATGTGTGTGAGTATGTGTGTGTGAGTGTGTGTGTGTGGATGCAAAGTGAACAGCGAGTGTCTGTCCTCTGTGTCCGTGCGTCCACCAGGTGACACATCACATCTCGTCACCACGGTGACTCACATTTGCCCTGAGTGGCCCAGGATTTGGGAAACGGGAGCGTGAGCACATGCACAACCTCGATGTCAGCAAACCCTACAACCACTAACCCGCTGAATAAAACGGGCTGAAATGCTCACGCACAGCGCTGAAACGCTGGCCAAAAGGCGTTTAGTCACACTGGAGCATTTGAGTTTTTCCTTTTTCTTTCTACTCTTTCGCCGTATTTTAAGCTATTTTCACATACTGACTTTTTTTTTTTTTTTGCATGAGCAACAACATGCATCCTATAATCATCCTTCATCATATAATGTAAACAAGTCTTGTGAACCACTTGTTTTGTACAGCTTATGATGCATTCATCCAGAGCAGGTGCACCTATGATTAACTAACCGGGTATTGTGGGAGGGACTGGAACAATTGAGCAAAGAAAGGTCATAACTCTGTTGGGGAGTAGGCTCCGGTCCCTGGTGCTGCAGCTGAGCGCCTCATTTTTGTTCCGGTGTGAGCCGGTGGCCCTGCAGGGTCACTTTAAATGGGTCGGTGCAGTGTGAGCCTGCAGGGCTGCAATTCTCCTCAAGACCTGCTGCAGTAAGTCATTTAGTGTCTGATCAGTTTATCTTAGAAAGCGACATGCGTTGATATTGCTATTTATATTGATAGCAATCTAGACTTTAAATTCTACAACACAGGATAAGTTATGTGTGTTGATTTTTGTCGATTTATAGCAGGACTCTGTGTGTTACCGTCACAGATTCAAGTTCTTTTGATCTGTTTTTTATATCATATATGGCCTAGCCTATAGATGTTAATCCTACGTAATATGTTATGTGTAAAAAGGAGAGATATATTTTATACATGCTATCAAAGTTGAAAAAAAAAACTATAAAAGCTAAGATTCAGCTTCAAGCGACATTCACTCATCATTAGAATCAGAGAAATGCTTTTTCACTGAGACTGAGAGGAGAGAAAAATATATGGTTCAGCGTTTCCCCCTCACAAGAACAGCACAGTAATCAATTCCGTTTAGTACAAGTCCAATGCACTTAGACTTCCTGCACGAATAACCAGAGGCTGCAGAGCAGAGGAACATTTATTGGTAAAGCGATTAATTCAACCCCCTCCCTCTTCTCCCTCTGCTCTGCTCCCCTTTCCCACAAAAAAGGATGTTCAGGTAACATTACTGAACAGAAAAAAGCAAAGCGTTGCAAGTTCAATTACATTTAGAGAGTGGAAAAAAGTCAAAGGTAAGCTATGTTATTTTACAAAGGGTTGCCTACAGTTAATTCATTTTTATCTATAATGGGCTGCTAGCTGGACTATCCCCTGAAAATAGCTAAATTAGTGTTTACTTTTGTGTTGTTTCTTTAAAATATGCAAATAAGTTTAGTCACATTCATTTAAATGTTTTCAACCTTCTTTGACATTTACTTCACTTTAGAAAATTATCTATTAAGTCTCTAAAAGTAGTTATTGTCTTGGTTCGTGATAGGAAAGGCCCTGGTGTCGTTTTGTTACAACACAATGCTGACTTTGCTGTCCATTGCAATTTTAATAGGACCTGGGTGAGCAGCCTTTAAAGGAGAGGAGGGAGACAAGGAGGAAGGAACGTCCACAGCATCTCTCAGCCACCTGCGTCAAGTCGGACACTTTTAGCTGAAACACGACCGGAACTAACTATTTCTTCAACGTAAAAACGCATTTCTTCTTGCCAACGTTAGGGTGAGTACGAAGCTAAGAGCCTATTAAGGAACACCCCCAGTCATTTTTACACGGTTGCCTGTTATTAAAGTTACGAGGAATTAAGTTGCTTTTGCTTCTATCTTTCCGTAAAGTCCCAAACGTGGGTACGCTGAGTAATTCGATGGTAAGACCGCGCTTGACGCTGAAATTTTCAACCGGAAGTCGCCTCCGCGTTTGTAACGGTTTTCTCGCCATCCAGCCCTCGGCTCCCTCAGTCGGTTCACAGACCCAGCAGGATGCCACGGGGAGCACTCCGGCTCGCAGCGTCCCTTCCACCGTCCGCCGACGTCGTCCCCCGGACGCTGCGACTCTGATGGGCGTTTTTCGTCCCCCCCCTCTTAAGCTTGGATATTTCTCGACAATCGCAAAATGAAGCGAATGAATGTGAGCAACAAGAAGTATCCCGTTTGTTTGTGCCTATGTCTCCAGCACCGGTAGTTGTCCAGTTCTCCCCTGTGGACGCGGAGCCTCTGTGATTCCTCACAGTAGTTGGTCCGTTTTGGATGATTTCATGTAGTGGTCAGTAGTGGACTACCCAACTTTCCCTCCGCTTTTTTTTTTTCTTTTTTCTTTTTTGTTGGTGTCTTTTTTCGAAGGTTTTCCGTCTGTGAAAACAAAGATCCCCCCCAAGATCGACCAACTCCGGGAAAACCAGCGGCTTGACATCTTGCTCCCCCGGAGGAATAACCTTTTCTTTGCGGTTATTCGCCCCCTCGCAAAGCATCTTCTCTGGGGTGGGGAACTCGACTGATGCTTGCCTTGCTCGTCCATCGTTTTTTTGTTTGTCTGTTTGTCCCCAGAGTGGCATGAAAATTCATGAATGCGTCCAAGGACATGTATACAGATTACGCATGCACCGTGACGGCGGTAGGCTGTGCGTAATACCTTATTTGTTGTTGTTGTTGTTGTTCTTCTTCTTTTTTCCCCACCACATGAATGCATCCACAAAAAAAAAGATTCCCTCTCATTCTCCTGTGCGGAAGGGGATTTGGCACAATCACCCCCAACTTGATTCTTGAGCGTGCGTCTGTGCGCGCGCGTGTGTGCGTGTCCACTGGCGTAACGCCCCGTGGCATGGCACTATTATCGCCTACAAATTTGATTGTATTTTGATGTTTTTTAATATCCGGGGGCTTGATATTGACTCATTTACATGGAAGCTCTCGGTATGATTTTGTTTTTTTGAAATTGGGTTAAAGTTAAAGGAACTGAGAGCAGATTAAAGCCTTTTTCCGGAACCGGCTGTGGATGAATCGGAGGGAATCTGAGCGCAAAGATACCTGTGCGTGCGTCCCCGTGACCCCTTACCGCGCGCGCCTGTGTGTGTGTGTGTGTGTGTTTGTGCGTGCGTGCGTGCGTGCGTGCAGCCACGCTGGAAGTCGCCTCCCATGTGGCCGTCGGGAGTGGGCAGCAGGCAGCCATGCCCGCGGGAGTCGGCGCTGCGCAGGGCGGCCATCAGCGGCAACATCAACGCCCTGCCGCCGCACCACGTGCCCACCGGCCGCAGCGTGCGGGTCTTCATCTCCGCCAACCCCGACGGTAAGAGCCCCCCCCCCAGCCTCCCATTCAAAATATTTCATCCCAAGCAGCCCCTAGCCTTCGCAGGATTTCCTATCAAATGTCCTCAGGGTGGACATCAGCTCAGTTTAAAAGCTCTGACAATGGCAAGAAGAATCTCCAGCATCTTCCTATATGAATCTCCTTTAGGGTGTCCTCAAATATGCAAACATGCAGGCAGGGGGGGTAAAAAATAGTGGAATTAAAAGGTTAGGGTTTCGTGCCCCCTGTCGATTGTGGCCTGATCCAATAGAGGAGGCAGAACTTGGGAATTGTTGTGTTCTGTAATTAGCTTCAGAGTAGGGTCTGACCTGCTCTGTTTGGAAAGCGCTGTGAAACAACTGTTGTTGTGATGTGGCGCTATATAAATGAAATTGAATTGAATTGAATTGAGAACTTTGAGCCCAACAGGGAGTCGGTCCAAAGGGTACGTATAGCTCTCGTGCCCTCCCGTCCTCACGTGACGAGCCCGACAAAAAAAAACAAACAGCGGTGAACTCGCTGCAATAATGCGGTGACACAACAGATTGCTTTCAGCACAGAGCGCACGGTGTGGGCCGAGCGCAGGGCAGCGGGGGCCACGGGAGACACCCAGCCGCTGCTCCGGATTTGAATATGCCCTCCGGGCACCGGGGGTAAAAATAGGCCCAGTAAAACTGGAGTAAACAAGCCCACTGAAGTAGAGTAGGCTAAGAGCGAGGGAGGGATGGAGAGGAGGGAGGAAACTGGTTGCACTCGACGGTGCATTACCGTCATTAATTTTTCCCTCACAGAGCAAACTGCTGCAACGAGCGACCCGACCTGGGTTTGGTTTAGTTTAGTTGTTTGTTTTTTTTCTTTTTTCGGCAGCAGATTGTCGAGTCTGGCACTGTTCGGCCACCTGTGGCTGATTGAGTCACTGAGAGCTTCCCGTCTCAGCATGATTTTAGCCATCCAATCTAGACGGGGATGGGAGAATGATGAGGGGACACGGAGGGGGGCCATTCAGAGTAATTGTCCCCACAGAAACAAGATACCGACATCTCAGCCCCGGAAGAACTGTTTAGGAACCATTTTTCCATTTCAGTGACATGCTGGTCAAGTGTCGTTATTTTTGTTTTATTGTCCACAATATCATCAGAAATGTTGTTCTCTCAAACCAAACAGCCCTGCTGGGCTTTCGGCCTTTCTGCAGAGCTGCTTTCCCCACGTTCACTAGAGGGGGCTGTCCGTGCACGTCTCTCATCACGGACACGTTTCCCCTGGAGGTTAATAACCCAAAACGGAAGCGAGGAACTCAGCGGGCGAGCTTCACCCGCTACGCCTCGCTCTGGATCTGTCCTCATGCGTTCGCATTTAAACCTGAATGACAGCCGGCACGCCTGAGACGGGCAGCTCCTCCCCTCTCTTTTCCTCCTCCTCACAGTCAGGTGTGATGGCTTTTCCGGGTGGCCTCATCCTGCACATGAAGGTTTGAGGGGCAGATGCTGTTTTTTTACAAAGGTCTCTTGGCTCCTGGGGACCGGAACACATGAGGGAAAAGTGGCCACCGGCCGGGCCCAGCGGACGCTTGGATACACCACCAAAACGGTGCTACTCGCAGCCTCAGTCGCACCAGAGCAACCACACACACTCCTCTTTTCTTTTTCTTTTATTGTGCCTACATGATGAAAAATGCATGGTGCTCCGTTTTGCGGTGAGCTCAGATGAACACGCCAACCCGAACGCCTCAAATCGAAAGCCCCAGACAGCCGCCGTGGCCTCCCTCCGACGCCCGAGGCTGCCATCAGAAAACAGAGCCTCCGACAGAACAAACACCAAACGGCTCGTTTGGGCTGATTAGCTCCGACTTGTCGGGATCCTAATGAGTCGCGCTGGTGGATCGCTCTCCGTGTGTGTGCGTGGCCAAAGCTGGGCCCAGGGTACTTTATTTTTGTGCATCCCAGAGGGTGTGTTGCTGCAGCCGCTCCAGATATGTATCTTCCTGTTTGTGGGTCCACGTAAGCCGACCCAAAGGATCCGCTCCACCTCGCCGAAGCCACCTCAGGGGGTCGATAGGATAGCTCGAATTCCAAATATCAGTCTCTCTTCTTATGCTGTTGAACAGCCACGGAAGCCAGAGGCTTCAGAGATATGATGCACAAAACCAGCCCTCCAACGCACCATCCTCAAGGCTATAATGTCGCCATAGAGACCGCTAATTACTTTGCATTTCACCACACAACTGTTCCCAGAGCCCAGTTCTGCGCATAGCAACTTTAAGCCTACGATATGCAGCTCCGATTCCGTCTGCGAGTCTCTTTAATTATGTGCCTCCCTAAATTGAATTGTGGGGAAACAGAACGAAGAAGAGAGGCCGCGTCGGCCCCTTTGTGGCTTGGTTTTGATAAATGGTTTCCCCGGGGAAGTGTCGGCGTTCCGGAGGTAGAGGGAGACTTTTTCCCCGGCCTTTTCTGGAGACCTGTGGATAAAAGGCTAAACGACCCCCTTGTTCTGGCTTTGTGGGAGCCGTGTCAAGGTGCTGGGGCAAGTCGAACCCCCCCCACCCCACCCCCTGCACCGGGCAGAAATACACACTCTGAAAAGATATCCTCTGAAAGCTCCAGGCTGCAGAGCCTGTGTAAAAACAACCCCAGTTGGGATGGTTTTCGTTCAATTCGTTTGGAAAAAAAATGGAGAAATCTCTGTTTCAGAATAAGACCTTCTGACACACCCACTGAGCGTGGCATGCCGTACTCATGAATCTATTCATAAACCGGCTATTCTCAAGATCAGAAGTGCTAATATTTATAGAGCTTCTTACAGTTTGAGGTGAACCAGAGTCAGAGAATCTTTTATTAAGAGCGAACCACACACACAGAGTTAATATGAGGAGAAACACTGCTGTCCTGCTGCCTCAACGTCTTCCAGGTCTGCTTATTGTGTTCCAGCAGGAAAACCCAGACATCCAGCTCCTCCCGGGGATCCCAAAGGGGACATGTTACCCATCCATCTAGCTCTGGGTTTTTTCCCAATTGGACCTGCTTGAACCACCTCAGCTGAGTCCTGTCGATGCAGAGGAGCAGAATTTCCACTCTGAGCTCCCCCTGGATGGCGAAACCCATTTCAGCTAGTCGTTCAAGGGGTTAGGGTGGAAACAAACCCGAAAACTGAGCTAATAAGACCTGCAGACCTTACGATGGCCTTCCCAGGTCAGTGATGGTGGAAAAGACCCGACTTCGCCGATGCTTTTACAAGCAAGCTGTAAAAACATGGACTCAGTGGAGTTTCACAGCTGAAAAGCAACGAGGGAAGTAAACCAAACCTGGATACGAATAGCAAAGACACAATCATATTTTCTGCCGGAGTTAAAGTTCCTCACTGGAGTATTCCAGAGTTAGGCTTTCCAAATTTCCATTTCCCAACCAAAGCAGGCGGGGCTGGTGTCAGCTGGTGAGGCTTGAGCATCTGCTGGTCTGACATTTTGCCGTAGAGATGGAGGGAGGAAAACGGAGGAGGGGGGAGCATCAGGCTGATGTGTCCGTTCCAACGGCCGCCCATTAACTCCGCATACGTGAAAGGGAAGCAGAGGGAAGAGCAAAGGACGCGAGAGGGCTGATGACTCGTCTGAGGCCCAGGACCCGGTCTTTGTTCTTTGGCGTCACACTCCTACGTCAGGCTGCCATAACTCATCATCCCCCCCGACCCCCCCCAAAAGAAACAGAAAGAGAGAGGCAGTTTGCTGTTATCAGCAGAGCACAAATAACAGCAGTTAAGTCTGTCAGGTCACATCCAGACGGAGTCGGACTCCACAAACACGTGTCATCTAAATTCCACAGACGCTGCGCCGTGCAGATTCCCCCCCCGCCACCTTCAGATATCATCTATTTATTGTGCCGCGACGGAGCGAGATACCAACCGCCATCCATTTCCTTTTGCATACGACTCCCTTCGTTGGGCCGGGACTTGACATTTTTCGCCGGGGTGGCTGTGGGCGGATATTTGCTCGGTCACGGCCCAGAGCCCTACTAAAGATAGACGGGAGATGGATACGTCAGAGCGGATTTGTGGGCTTCTCCCCCGCCGGCGGCCTGGCGGCCGAGGGGCCGTTTGCGCCACGCACGCTCGCGCAGGCCGGCGCCTCGCTCGCACGGGGCGTCTCTGTCAGGCATATTCTGTTTTTAACCGTCCACCCACACCCCCTCAGAAAAAGAGAGGCCGGGCCTGTCCAGATGCATCACAATAACCATTTGGAGGGTTGTGGAAATGGGAGGAGAGCGAGGAAAGAAAGTGGGACGCGCTAACCAGCCGCCGGCTCTCTCTCTGTGACACTCCCGTCTGCCCAGCGTGCTCCCGCCCTCTGTAACACGTTATAATCCCATACCCAGCAGTATGTTAGCAGCAGACAACCACACATGTGACGTTTACTTGAATATTGCATAAAAGAATGAGTCGATCATTCTAAAGACAGAGTTTTAGAGAGTCGGGCAGAGGTGGATTCGTAAATTACTGAATAATTACTTCAAAATGGTTCAAAGTCTGCCTGATTTATCCAGCTGCCTGCTTTGTCTCCCGGAAAGAGTATTTTAAAATATTTTATTCAAGTTTGCGTAATTTAGACTCTATACAAGAGGACGATCCCTGTTTAATTTCCAATTTAAGGTGAGATATTCCGGTGTTTCGCTTCCACGAGAGGCCAATACCAGTTTCTGCCACAGACTTATTGACAGGGAGCACTAGAAGCCAAAGTTCAACAGGTTTTTTGTCTCTTCAAGAGACGGAAATCCACTGGTAAACAAGTTACCTCGTTACCTCAATGTTCCTAAGAGATGTACGTGCTTTATACATGGCACATGGGCTCGTTTGGTATTTTGATATAAGGCTTTTGATTAAACTTTTGGGAGGGAGGTCGGTTTTGTGTCCAGGCGACCACTGGGGTCACTTTTAGTAAAAATCCCTGGCAACAGGGGGAAGCTTAATTTAGACCCCATCCATTTGTATTCTTAGTGCTGTTTCCTCCAACGCTAAACATGTCCCTGACATCCATCTCTGTCTTTTGTTTCCAGACACAGAAGCTGAGAGGAACGCCCTGAAAGAGCACGTCTACCCCAAGTTACGGGACTTCTGCAGGGAGAACTACGGCATTGAATTCCAGGTCAGTTTGTTTGTTTTTTCCTTGGGTTTTTGTTCGTTTCGAGGTCTGGGCTCTCCGTGGCTCCGGTAACTGATACGGTCTGGAGCGGTGGGTTTCCATTCTCTGCTAATCGGCGGCTACATCGTGCATCACAACAGCCGTGCGGGACCCCGTCTCTGTAAGCAGACAGAAGGCCAGCAGAGATAAGGCCCCCCGGCGGTGACGGCCGGCTCACGCGTAACGGCGACCGGCTTCCCCTTTGTTGCTTTAAGAGAGCTGCCACATCCCTCCCCTTCGGTATCCACCGATCACCCCCATTTGCATTGCTAATGCGGCGTGAAAGGAAAGATAGCCATCAGAGGTTTGTTTGTTAAACAAATCCAGGAGTGCCCCAGAGTCACGGCCACGCGTGGTTTCCGAAACGGCGAGCGGAGATCCGCTCCCGATGAGGCGGAGCCGCCCCGGATTGTTCCGGAAAACCCGCGGGATGCTGGGTGTCCACCTCCAACTGTCCGTTTCAGGGACAGATTGGGGCAGGTACCAGCTGAAGGTTTAAAGTGAGAGGATTTACAGGGATCCAAACGCTTCTTTTTGGTTACACGTCACAGGAGAGACAATTGAATGGCGTTGGAATCTGTGTTTCTTGTGAGTCTGGAGCGGAAGTGGACGTTGGGTACCGCTGTTCAGGGACCCGGGACGCATTACCAAGCCAAGAACAGAGGTTGGCCACGTGTCCGTCTGCTGATTCAGCTGGCTGTGACGAGGCCGGAGCAGATACGGCCGTTCAGAGGGCCTGAAAGTTAATACCATGACTCACTTAGCCGGCTCGCCCTCCTCCCGCCAGACCCACAGCGCCCCTTCCTCACCCGCAGAACGAGGGGTGAGGAGCTTTGCACCGATTAGCAACGGGAGGGGACTTCCCCGAGTCGAATCAGACTCCATTTGCGACACTTTTTTTTTTCTTTCTTTGCTTTGATTTTTCATTTAGGAGCAATCCCACCTTCGTTCGACTCAAACGCTCCGTCTCTCGCTCTCTCCCTCTCTCTCTCTCTCTTCTCTCGCTCTGTGCCTCTTCCTCTCACATCTGCTGACACACGTTTGCCAGTCAAAGGAGCGGAAACCCAGCTCTCCCCGGTCTCTCATCATTTGACTCAGTTCCCATCCAGAGCGGCTCCCTTAACAGGATGCAGAAGGATCTCGGAGGAAGATGGAGCGGGGGGGTGAGGGGGGGGATAGGGCATGGAAATCCAGCCCAGGGGCCGAGGGCCGCGTCCTCATTCAGTCAGAGCGCAGCACCAACCGGGGGATCAGGCTCTGTGATCCCTCTTTTACTATTTTTATCCCAACGCGTCCCGCGCTTTGCCTCCGGTTAATCAGTCTGTTGCGTGCCGATATTTTTAAGGAAAAAATCCTGAAACGAAGAGAGATGCTGCCCCTGTTGTTCACGATTTAGGCCAGACCAGCTTTTTATTTCTAAAGTGGGACTTCCGATGAGGTGTCGGGTTAGGGTTAGAGTTAGGGTTAGGGTTAGGGTCAGACCGCCTCCAGTAGAGAAGATAGACTCATGCTGGGTTGTAATCATGTTAGGGGAGAAGAGTGTTTTTGACACAACATGGAGGCCGCGAGCTGTCATTTGTGGGGTCAAATTACACGTATTACTGTAGTCTGTTGTGATCAGAGCCGCTTGTTAGTTGGTGACACATGATGTTGTCTCACTGTGTGGTCGTCTTTATGCTGACCGCATTTTGGACTGTGTGTCCATTTGTCCTTTGGTTATTACACAACTTGAACAGTGAGTTTTTATATGTGCATTAAACATTAAAGCATGTCATGAATCAAGGTCAAATTTTGACTGCCACTAAACAAGACGGCTGTATATTTATAGTTATGGTTTTATTCCTACTGTTTCCCTCAAAGTTGAGGATTCGCTGGATTTAACATATAAGATATCAGCCCTCTTCTGGCAGTTAAACATTTACAAAAAGCAATGATAAAGTCTATTTTTTTCCAGCCAAAAGCCCGAAAAAGACACAATGTTCAGCATTTGAAATAGATAAATGATTTATTCACCCGCCATGGAGGAAATTCAAATAACACCGACATCTAAAGGAAAATGAGTGAAAACAACTATCAATTTAAAATATCTTTATTTGTTATTAGGCAGCTGACTAACAGGACACAGAGCAATAAAGAGAGGACGTCTGCTGCATTTGCAGCGATGTGGCACATTCCCACCGGGTGATGCTGACGGAGGACGTTACTGTGCACAGAGCTTTAATCAGAGGGCTGTATCGGAACAAGAAACAGCACTTTTGAGCTGTTTTTTTACCGCTCTGCTATTCACTGATTGCTCATGCACTCACTCTTTTGCCTTACTTAGCTTTTCAAATACCTACATGCGCAGCCTCTGACTGCTTTTGTCTCATCCCTGTGGAACACTTACTTATGTTCAAAATGCACTTCAAAATGAAGCATTCGATCAAAATGAATTGAACTATGTCTTTTCAGTGCTTAAACCTAAGTAATTACAGGAAAACAGAGAGAGAAAACAGTTCATGCTGTGAAAATGAAGTTGTAAAGCGCAGCCTCGTCGGCTGGTAGATCAAGCTGTCATGCAAGCTTTTCTCTTGGATGAGATTATCTCACACAACTGGGCCGAATTCATTAAAATGTTCAAACCTCTTGACATCTAGATAACACTGTTGCAACTGAAACTTATTAGCAGCACTATGAAGCGTTTTCTTTTTTTCAGGAAAGTTTATGATGCAGATTTAATTGAAAACAGTTCCGAAAGGCTTCAAACTTCATGGTGGTGATTGATTTAACAGCTTTGTAGTAAGAGGAGCTGCCAGCTAGCATGTCAAAGCCCAGCGTTTATCAGCAAAGCAGAGAAAGACCCGAACCCAACTCCCACTAAGTTGCTGCTGGGAGCCTTTGCTCTGCCCAAAGACTAAATAATAACCCTTCAAAACAAGACTGCCACACTCGAAAATTAGGAAGGAATTGGGAAGTTAGTGAAAGCAACCGACTTGTTTTCCATTTTTTCCGTCCTGTAGGCTGTATGGGGACACACCTCGCTCCTCTCATCAGTTTTTCTCATTCTAATTCACTGAGAAGACAGGCAAAGAGACATGACACGATGTTGGAAAAGAAAGTTATGGTGTTGTTTTGTGCTCAGCTTTGTACTATCACAGGCGGGGAAAACAAAAGATACCCTGCTCTTAGAAGTCGCCCACTTCGAAAAGCTAAAAGCATTTTAGCCTCTTTTGTGTTTAATTAATGATTAAAATGGGATGTGTCCTCACCCAGGAGATGTTCCATCTTTTTCTCATGTCTGATCTTCAGACTAAAGAGAAATCACTGTGAGCAGGAGTCTGGTTTGTATGGATGTCTTTTTTCTTTTTGGCTTTTGCTGCCTGGCAGCAGGCCATCATCTCCATTCAAAGATGTCTTCTCTGTCCGCCCTCTCTTCACAAATACCAGCTGCCCACTCTGCCCACATGTTATTGACAGTCAAAAATCCAATCGGAAACAAATCCGAGCCGTCACTGGCGGTGTATTCATAGATGACCCTCAAGGGAACGTCTGATTTTCTAAAGAGGACGTTTCATTACCTCCGTTTTCGCTCCCGCCAGTTCGTCTGTTTCCAGCAGGCTGCGGAAAAACAAAAACACATCTCCGTGAAATCTGATCGGCAGACTTGTGAAAAATGTCTTTGCGAGGCCAGAGAGAAGAGAAAGCACGCCATCCGCTTCTAAGTGTAGTAATTAGAGGGTTATTGGAGCGCAAATATAAACCGCTGTTGCTTCCAGTAGAGCCAAAACTCGTCCTCCAACACTTAGAAGCCCCCTAAAGTGTTCGGATCAGCTTCCTCCACCCTGCGGCCAAAGTGACTAAAACCCACCATCCATGTAACCAAATGCTGTCTGGATGAACCTGCGCATCCACTGGGCCACAAGGCAGGACTTAACGTTATTTACTCGTTTACAAGCAGAGCATATTTAAACGAGCCTAGGCACAAACGAGCTGAATTGTTCTAACTCGTTGCAACGCGCACAGGCTTAAGCTGACCTTCTGTTTATGCTGTTGATCAACAGGATATCTTCCCAGTTTATTATTGCTCTGAGGGGCTCCCAAGCTGTGCGTGCGCTCATTTAGCTGTTAAGCGCCTCCATCTGGCGGGAGAGGGGGGGGGGGGGGGGGGGGGGCGCGGCTCACTGCCGAACGCAGCCCTCTCAAGCTCGGAAAAGGCACCGCGCCTTCCCGTTTAACAAAAAGCACTTAATCCCAGCTCGTCCCCGCCGGCCTCGGTGATCTGAAACACGGCGCCGGGATCAGCGGGTGTTTCCTCAAAGCCTGGAAGGGAAACCTCCTGATTTTGAACTGCAACAACCCCGTGAATCGAGAAGTCAAATTTGACCTCTTACTGAATATTAAGCCACACGTGCCTCCTTCCTGTTCCACCTGACAGGAAAGAATCGGAATTTTTGGCCGTTGATTTGGTGCCAAAACCTAAACTATCCTCCAGCTGCAGAGAGCCAGCATACATCGTAAATTCTTGGAGATTTCCTACGTGTTCTTAATAAAACAGCCCCCAGTACTGAGCTTAAGATTTCTATTTTAACTCTCTTTTTTTGGCCTCAGAGTCTTTCCGTCTGTGTTTTTTTTTTCCTGCTTTTATCCCCCTTCCGATTTCATGCCCTCTCTTCCTGGGCATCTTTGGCAGAATCCCGAAGGCTAATAGTAATAAAATCTTAAAAATGAAAGGAATGAATAAATAAAATTGTAAAGCTTTGTCTCCACTTGACCCGCCACGGGCAAACGCCTCTCAAGGGCGTCGCAAAGCCGCTTAGCGGAAGCCGGTTCCTCTCTCTTATGTAAGCAACGGCGCCCCCACGACCGCGCTCCCGGGGAAGATTGGGGAGACGGGAAGTAATCAGGAGAGGAGAAGGCAAAGTTGGCTTGAAAGGGAAAAGAGAGGAGAAGGGCGAAAAGGCAGAAGGAAAGCGAGCCTCGGTCTGAGCCAAATCCGGTCCCACAGGAGTCTGACTGCCTTCTTCATTAAAAGCTCCCTCCAAACGAGGCCCGTCTCCAGCTCCACTCACGTGCCTCTGCCTCTTCCTCGTGAACTTCCTTCGACTCTTTTCTCTTTTTTTCTCTTCGCCCTTCTTTCCCCCTCCATCCATCTCCCCAGTCCCTCCTTACTCCACTGAAGCACGACAGGTGAGGGAGCAAATTTAATCAGAATATCCTCCCCCGCATGCAGGCAGCCAATAGAAATGACTAATGTCTTCATTTAGCGTTTAATTACCACGCATCCTCCCAATCACCCACCGAAACCCTCTGCAATCAGGGAGCGCTCGTCTCACTTTGTCCCCCCCCCCCCACCTGTGTGTTGGAAGTGGATTAGTGACTGTGATACATCTTGACTTGAGTTTTTCCACAACAACAGGGCCAACACAGGGGACGCCGCGTGGGAGGGTTTCTCTAAAGTAATAGCCTTGTGCCGCCGGAGGATGAGGATGAGGATGAAGAATGGGAGGCTTTATTTAATCAGCCAAAGTGTCTTTTTTCGACCCCCACCCCCCACAGACGGGTTATTTACAGAAAGTTAATCACGAGCTAAAGCGTCCTTTGGTCCCACCTCCTCGCTACCAAGCAGCTTCTGTAGCTGACAGAAGCACACACGCACACACACACACACACACACACACACACACACACACACACACAGACACACACAACCACCCCCCCTCAGGAAAAACAGCTGCTCACAGGTGCACGCCAACAATCAGCTGCTATTCCCGGCCGTATCAGCACGGGGTGAATGTCAGAGTTGGAGCCGCCGCTTCCGGCCAATCGGCGGACTCTGCCAATCACGGCGCCGGAGGCCGTTGGGAGCCAGCGGCCGGGCCCATTACCCCCCCGGGGGGGGGGGGGGGGGGGGGAGGGGGCTCATTGCCCTCCTCATGGTGGTGTCGGCCACACACACTCATTCCAGGCCGTTTCCTCCTGCTCCTCTCTCCGCCGGCAGAGATTCCCCCCCCGTGGGGTGTTTACAGTTGGAATTGTTTCAACCGCCAGAGCCGGTGATGAATGTGTCGGGGGAGAAGGAGTGAGAGCGGGCGGGCATCTCCCTGCTGCTCTCTGAGAAAGGTGTATGTGTGTGTGTGTGTGTGTGTGTGTGTGTGTGTGTGT